AACTTACAGAGCAATTGTTTTCCTTGTTTTAGATAAATAGGAAGGAAGGAAGGAAGGAAGGAAGGAAGGAAGGAAGGAAGGAAGGAAGGAAGGAGCACTAGCTAGATGGAAAGAAGCTGATAAGTGAGTGGACAGAAGAGTGGTAAAGACGTAATAGTAGAAGGAAATAAAAAAATAGAAAATAAATGGAAAGACAGATGATGGGCAGATGGATGGGAGAGCTGGGTAAACAACAATATGAAAAGAAGAATAAAGAAAACAAAGAAAGAAAAATCATACAGAAACCAGGAAGAGAACACAACTAGACAGAAAACTCAAGAAAACTGAGGATCAATGGATGAATGAAGCAGAAATGAACTCAATCCACTGCAGAAACCATGAGGCAAAATTTTGTATCATTATCTGAATGCTGTTTAGGTAAGTATAGTCATTTCAGTAATCTAAGAGCACAACCTTCTGCATGCCCATTAAGAGGAAAGTTACTCTGGGCCTTATTCGTAGGCAGGCATACCAAACATCCCAATACTAGCCACTTTTTAAAAGCATGCAGCATCGACTTGGCTAAGCAACAGTAGCAACAGGTTTCATTTGTCCTGTGCTTTTGCCCCACTTGACCACTTCCACCAACTGCAACACTCCTTCTGCTCAAGGTCCTGTCCATGTTGTTTCATTCCCCCTCCCTTCTTCATTTCACCATTTTTGGACCAACTAAGCATCTTTGGTCTTCCTTGAGTCTAACGTTTCTTGCCCATTTCTCTTCTGGACAAACTTTTGACCAACACCAATTTTCAAGTTTCTCTGCTGAGTTATTTGGGCAACCCAGTTCCTTCCCTGGAGATATTTTTTTTAAGTGTCTCTCTGTGAAATGGGAAATTACCCATCAAGTTAATTGGTTTTTCTCTCAGTACCTTTTGATATCCATGTGCATCTCCCTTTGTCTCATCCTCCATTTTCCTCTCTTCCAACCTATTTTCCCTTTCCACCAGCTTGTTTGTTTGGTTGCTTGCTTGCTGCAGGAAGCATTATGCAGTCACTGAGTGTTCTCATTCTGAGGTGTTTCCTCCCTCATATTTTCCTATGAATTTTTTTTCTATCCATGCAAGTCTGCTGTTACCCCCAAGTCTGCTGATAGCTCCCTCTTGTGGATGGGTAGAGTCACTTTGACTAAATTTGAGCAAGTTATCAATAGACAAGAGGAACTGGTGTGGTGTAATGATTATTGTGTTGGATTAAAATTGAGGATATTCAGGATCCAATCTATCCACTATAAAGAAGATCCCAGAATGACCGGGGGCCTGTTTTTCCCCCTCCTGGCTTTAATCACTTTCAATTTCTGTGTTGGCATTTGCAGAGCTTACAAATGTTTTTATGTTTCTTTGTTTTTCAGCCCCCCACAAAACACCAGAACATAGAATGTCCCAATCAACATGACAGCTGGGTATGTTGGCTGAGGGATTCTGAGAGGTGTCATCCAAAAATGTAATGTTTGAAGCTCTGGTCAGTGTGGGGAGTTCAGGCTGCAAGGCCCTGGACCTTGGGCCTCAGATTCAACATCCAGCCCTACCCACAGCACTGACCCTTAGATCAACTATAAAAATACAAAGGGATTAAAAGAAAAGCTACTTGGGTTCTGCTATGTAAAGGACACAAAGCTTTGGATATGCAAAAAGATGAAGAAGCATCAGTTTCACCAGGTCTTCTGGGGGAATCCACTTTGAATTTCAGATGGAGCCCAGAAGAGTTTTTGTCATCCCTACAAGCTGACCAAAGCATGACCTTTTTCTGGCCACCTGCCTTGACTGGTGTGCCCAAGGAAGCAGATTTGAAATTCAAATCAAGCCGGTCCTTATTTTCAAAGGAAGTTGTAACATCCTGCCAGATTTCTTGCTGGAAAGAGAAGTCATTTGGAGAGGAGAAAGGGCCAGGTGACCCATCCAAAGGAATAATTTGGCAAAGCTTTTCCTGGGCATCACCAGTTCAGGCTGGGGGCTGATGACTCTAAGAGAGGAAAGAGTTGCCTTTCAGTATACAGCAGACTTGCATGTTAGAGACGAGAGTCCAGTCCATAACATATTCTTTGTCCGCATCCAATGATTTCTTTTTCTTCAGGAATATTTCTACAAGTATTTCCCAGCACTATGAAATGATGACAGCCCCGTTTATGATCTGTGCAAGAGGCAGACCATAGAAGGGGTGGGAGAATGGTCTTCACCAAAATGGAACTATTTCTTAATTTTTAATGATGCAGAGCAGGGTCCAGGAAAAGTGGGAGCAGTAAATGTGCTTCCCACTGAAATTCATTGGACTTATGAAGTGTTTTGTGTTGGCTAGATCTTGTGCTCATATCATGGGATTGGTAACTTGCAACCCTTCCAAATGTTGCTGGATTGCAGCTCACATAACAGTGACCATAAACTACACTTGGCAGTGCTTTTAAGAGCTGCAGTCAAATAACATTGATCAATTAATAAATTTTGTGTCGATCAATTCAACACAAGCTGCTTGATCTAAGCGGGTACAAGAACATTTCCGCATTTCTTGTTGGAACCTATCTTTGTAGAGGTATTGGTTTTGCTCAGAAAAAGGGATGTAGTATGATGAGGAAGTGTGGTGTAGTGAATTGAGTGATGGGCTAGGACTTTGGGAACAGGGTTCAAATCCTCACTTGGCCATGGAAACTCAATGGAGGTGTGGAATTGATAAAATCAATCCTTAAATATCTCACTTACCTTGAAAGCCCTTTTAGAGTTGCTATATCTCAGTTCCAACTTGACAGCACAGACCACACACATGATGAGGAAGAATGGGAAAAACTGGCCAAATCATGAGTTCCAGAAACTTGAGAAAAAAAGTAAATTTTATTTAAGCTGAGGTAGTTTTTGGTTCAAAATATAAAGGAGGAGGATAGAGCATCTCCATCTTAAAATACTAGATTATTTCATTCACATCTAAATAATAACATTTAAGAATAATAACAAAATCAACAAATTTCCACTTTTTACAGTTCTGTTCTAGGCTAATATTAATCAGGTTGCAAAAGCTTCCATTGCTTATGCCAGGCTGCCGCCACATTTACAGGGATGGGGGTTGATCTGTGGGAGAGAAATAATAAATACTAGAGACATTAATTGACATTCACTGTTAGTATAACTCAAATCAATTATGTGTCGAACAAAACGAAAGTCTCACACATGTCATTTTGACACCTTTTCTATGACTAAGTCTACTCATTAAAATGGCTAAGTACGATGAAGTCTGGATTCAGCTGAAAAAAGAAATCAAGTAGAAGTAACGTCTGCAGATTTCAGTGGAAATATCTTCTTTCCCAGAACCTGGAGGATGAGGGCAGATGGTGTTCTACTAAAATCAAAGAGTCTGGGGGCCCTGCCTTTCTTAAGTATGAGTTGGCCAGTTCGATTCCTGCCTTGTTTGTGCAATGGGTGGAGAGTTTGCCTACCTACTTGAAAGCAAGCCTTTCCTTTAGAAAGCAAATCTCCAGCTGATCCAGAAGTTTGCAAAACTCGAGGAAATTGCCTATTCCCTACATCAGTTCAATATCCCCGCTCGTTTTTTAAATTGGCTTTGATAGATTCTTGTTATCTAAGTTGCAACTTAAATCCTGGGGAAAGGCTGGGCTAACTGGAGGACGAGTGTATACGAAGTTCATGCACGTTCCCTCAAAGCACCGCTGTCACCATCATTGTGAATACACGAACTTCGTTCCTGGCATGAAATCAGAAAGGAGAACTCCTTCACAAATGGTCCTCTCACTTCTGTACCCAAATGCTGCCGAAGAAGCTTCTTCACGGTAACTATTGCCGTTCCATGAAAGCAATTCCCTGTAACCAAACTACTTTGCCATAGCAGTGGTTAACACGCGAGGCATGCTCTTTTTCTAGTGCAAAATTGAAAGCGGGAGAAGAACCTGAAACAGTGACCTTCCAGGACTACAGTTCCCAGACTGCTGAGCCCAATGATCATGTGGCTGGAGCATTCTGGAAGTTGTAGTCCAAGATGTAACTTTTCCAAGCTGGGGAACGGGGGGCGGGGAAGGGATTCATTCTCCAAGGCCTCAGTGTGTTAATCATTCCAACCTATACATTTTAACACTTTTCACGCTCATCCTTAAAACACCGCTGAGAAACTAACAGAAACAAACAGCAAACGAATCAAGGCAATCGTGCTCTGAGAAAACTTCAACATGTTTTTGTTTCGTTATTTGCATACAAGTCACTTCAAGAACAGAGACATTCCAAAAATTAAAAAAATTATTTCCCCCCAATTTTCTGTGGTTGAAAGTGCGTATCCGATTGAGGGAAAAAGAAAGATGGGAGAAATGAAATGGTTATCCCTGAGATACATTGGGGTGGTTAAACAGGATAGCAAAAGGGATAAGAATTCTTGAGATAGGTCTTGTTCCTCCCAGATGAGGTGTTGCAAAATAAACGGGCGAGGGAAGGGGGAAGTTGAAAGGCTATTAAGTTTCAGACGGAGGGGCCCCTCCTTCCCATCCCCTAAGGATGGCGCTGCATTTTTCTGTATTGGGGGTGCTGCTGTCTGTATTGCAAGAGAAAAGGGGCCCCGTGTTTCCTTAATCCAAAAAGGGAACACACGTGCATCTGTGTGCGGGACAGTAACCTTACAGAAAACGCGAAGTTGGGGGAGGGGGTTGAAAAACCTCCAGCTATCAGGGGTCGAAAAGGAGGGTGCCTTCGTACCCAGAGAGAACAGCTTTGCGTGTGTCAGTGGGACGGTGTCCGGAGCTCCTTGTTTGCAAGCAGTCATGCTTTGTTGCCACGCTGCACGCAGCGATCGACCAGCACGTATGGACGCAGGGCGCACGTGTGTAGGGAGGTTTCCTGGAGGGGCGCGTTCTTCTAACCTGCCAGAAGCGAACAAGCCTGCCGCAGGGCGCAGAGTTCGGTTCCAGGCGGAGCTGCTTCCTTAATTGAGGAGGGGGAGGCCGGAGATGGGGCTGGGGAACGACCCTCTCCTCCCATTCAAGAGGTTACCGAGCCGGGGGAGGCGTCGGGCGTAGAGGAGCTGCTGTCGGGGGATCCCTCCGAGGCGGCCTCGGCCGGTTCCTTGGCGAGGCCGCGGGGGGCGGGCGGGCCGGCCAGCCCCTCCTTCTCCCTCTTCTTCTGCTTCATCCTCCGGTTTTGGAACCAGATCTTCACCTGGGTCTCGCTGAGCTCCAGGGTGGCGGCGATCTCCACCCGCCGCGCTCGCGTGAGGTACTTGCTGAAGTGAAATTCCTTCTCCAGCTCCGTCAGCTGCTTGGTGGTGAAGTTGGTCCGGATGGTGCTGGGGTGCGCGGCCAAGCCGTAGTCGCACACTTTCGCTGTCCACACGAGCCAGAAGGGGGAAATCGAGGACATGAAGCCAGTAGTTAGAAACGCGCCCTTTTCTTTCCCCCAGTATAAAACAAGACCCTCATCCTAGCATCCCACCAGGCCTCACCCCCATCCTTGACCTGGAGTCTCCCTCCATTCCTTTCTGCGGCAAGCAGGAGAATGTGTGGCTAGCCAGGCACGACAAACGTCGGGGGTGAAACGAGTTCCCCTTGGCCGCGGTCCTCGGCAGCCTGCAGCCCACGTGGCCTCTGAGGGACCCTGGCCGTTGTATTCCAAGGAAAGGAACTTTTCCCAGGCCCGTTTAAAGGCGGGCAGCTCCTCAGCGTTTCTCTAGGGTCAACCTCTCCCAACGCGGCGTATTCCGGAGGCGCTGAACCGCAAGGTCCACGATTCCTGGCTATCGCCGCGTCCGGAGAGGCTGCGCTCTGCGGACCTTCGCTCTCCTCCTTATCTGAGGCGCTCGGGCTGGCTTGGGGGAATCCACAGACAGGACCGTGGTTCCCACACTTCCCGTTGTTTTTGCCGCTGCTCTTTGAAGCATCGCCTCCCGTTTTCTCCCACAGTCGTTCCCGTTTGAATATTGCACTTGTACATGCCTTCCTGTCCATCAGAGCCCCTCAGGCTGTTTACCATATAAACACAGCAAAACGACTCACCCTTACTGTTTGGATTGCTGTCATTTGATAATGTTATGGCATATTACAAATTTATACACGGCCTTGGACACATTGCTCAGTAATCCATCTGTCTGATGGATTGATAAGAACTAAATAAGCAAGGTCACAGGATCCAGAAACAGGACCCCAGGCTAAACTTCCATGAATTTAATACAGGAGTTGATTGATATGCCTAAGAAGCCATTCTCTGCCTATGAAAACATTCTAAGCAACAGTTGCCATGAATCAACTTCCAGGTAAGCTCACCTGGATGACTGAGAATCTTCACAGATAAATACAGCAACACTAAACTGAGAGGTTAAAGAACATGCTGGGCTTCAAACCTGTCCAGAAACGCTACCACCTCGGGGGAAAGCCTTTACCCAATTCTTCCCATAAGGAGACTCTCTTTAGAGTTGCTGACAAGGGCATGCATTGTTCTCTGTGTCAGCTCAGGGGAACTTCCTCCTAAGTCTATATACATTCTTGGGACGAGCCTAGGCCTTGGAAGCACAAGCAAGGTCTGAACCTGCAGGTTAGTGAGTGGCACACCCAAAGGCCTAAATCCAATTGGTAGTCTCAACTAGAGCAAACTTAATGAATCCAGGATACTACTTGTGTAGGTAGTGACAAAATAGTGACTTTACCTACTGACGCAATGTTTACTGTGCTTAGGAGGGTCAGCAACCAAATTCGGGTTGCTATTTTTCTCTTTTTAAGTCTAATTACAGCTCTTTTCTCTTTTCCAGGGTGGAGGTGGGCAGGGTGATTTGTTGTTGCTGCTGCTGCTCCATTGCTTTTTGAAGATGTAAAAATAAAGCCAGAAAGCTGGGTTTAGCTCAGCTATAACAAAGCATAGGAACGTGAAGGTACAGTTTAGGGCTGAAAGAGCTGAAAAACCACCCAAGACAACTGTGTGGTTGATTTTGTATTCTGTTCTCCAGTGATCCAAGGCAGATCCACAAACTGAAAGGCAGTTGTGCCACTATTAATTCAACTGTACCTTATGATGGATAGGCAAGAGGCATTGAAGTATGAAGCTGGAATGGGCCTATGCTTAAACTACAGTGGTTCTGCATATTTTGTGACTGAAAGAAGTGTAAGAGTGGATACTCTGTGTGTGTGTGAGAGAAATAGACTCTTGTTGACTTTTGGTGTATCTGACAACTGTTGTAGAAACAGAGCTTGGAAAACTTACTTTTTTGGACAACAACTCTCAGAAGGTTAGTTTATCCTTTAATGGGCCAGTTCACATCTGGGAGGAAAATGTGTGTGAAGCAGTCCTGATTCCAGGGTGTAAGCAGGGACCACAGTGAGGAAGGAACCCTGCTCTTCATTGGCTTTTTCAGTCAAGACACATTTACCCACTTCTCACCAGTAGGTATTGGCCAGTGTTTTGAAACACACAGAATGGTAGAGGAACCAGTAGTGTATGTCTTGTGTTTTTGTGATAGTGGAGCACGTATCCTGTATTTTGTGATGGTGGGGTGGAAACTTAGCCTTGTTAATGGATTGTTAACTTACTGCAGCAAATACACATGCACGTCAAGAGTGTTGTGGCATTTTTAACCTTGCATTTTATTCAACATAAGCTTTTGTGAACATGAAGTGGGCTACAGTCCACCAAAACTTAGGCCAAATAAAAGTTGTTAGTTTTCACGGTGCTACAAGACTCTTTGTTTACATTTTTTCCCCTGTAAGACAACCCTTTTCTCCTTTTACTGACATGAGACATTTCTTTTCATCTAGAAAGAAGGAGAAGCATTTAAACATAATAAATTAAATACATACCTAAGTGCTCCATAAGAGGAAGAAAGCTTCTAAAAACCACGGTCTGTTGGGGGTGGGGAGGGGATTCCACCTCCTGCTACTATTAGAATCTAAAAAGAAGTGAGGCTGTTCTCCCCCTGGGAGCCACAAATATTTTTCAATATGTTTAACCTCAACTCCCAACCCCTGCAATTGTTAGCTTTGAGCCACCTTAACTGCATTAAGGTGAAGGATGGCAGGTTCCTCTTTTCCTTTCTGGTATCTTTGGAAACAGAGCATCATGACTCCCTATTCTCTGCTCCAGGCATGCTTTTCCCTGGCCTTACCTCTGCAGTTTGCCTTCGAGGCAGAGGGTGGGAAGCTAGAGTTTGGAAAAAGAGGCTGCGGGGCGGGCATCTCTACAGCTCTCAGAAGGCCCAGCAGGGGCTGTGGCGACTGGGGATTCTGGGAGCTGTAGTTGAAAAGTCACTTCCCCAAGCTTTGCTTGTTAAGAGTTGCTTTTCTTGATTCCGATCGGGTCCTGAATAGAGGAAGATACTCCTGGAATGCTCCGGAGTTGGGCACGGTGGAAACCACAGGGATCCAAATGCAGGGAATCCCGGACGGAACCGTCTGAGAGTCTGTCCTCTTCTCCTCCCCACCCCTGCCTTGAAAGGACTCTGGCCAGGAAGTCTTGCCTGCCATCTGGGTTTTTACCTGTTTTGGGTGGATTCCGTTTCACTTTCATCCAGTCAAAGGTTTGGCTGGCGGTGAGGTTGGCGGCGGCAGCCACGGGGCATGGCTGGGCCCTCGGGTCTTTGTTGTCGTGCAAAGGTGGAGAAACGTTGCCAAATCCCCCTTGTAGGTAGCCCCCCTGTTCAGGCCCATAGAGATGTGGCTGGAACTGGCCCGTTGGGGCACAGGGGAAGCCGTCAGGTAAACCTCCCAGGCTGGAAGAAGGCAGCGAAGTGGCAGTAGTGGTAGCAGGAGCAGGAGCTGCAGCCACCCCGGCTGGGTAGGCTGTCGCCTGGAAGTAACCTCCATCCGTAGTGGTCTCCGAGGGGTTGAAGAAGAATTGTTGGTTGACGAAGCTTTGGCCGGGGGTTGTGGAGTAGGTTCCTCCTCCTGTCGGAGAGGATCCTGCGAAGGGGATGCCAAGGCCCGCCGGGTTGGGAGGAAGAGGAGGAGGAGGAGGAGGGTAGCTTGAGCTCTGCTGGTGGTGATGATGGTGGTGGGCGTTGGGCCCACCAGCAGTGCCCACCCCTGTCACCCCGAAACGTCCCTCTGAATGATAGCTGTCACAGGAAGGAATGGTACCTGCACAAGCTGGGAAGGAAGGGCTCCCTTGCTCAAAATGCTGGTACTCCTTGGGCGCGTAGGCGCTGGTCGTCCCACGGTTACAAATTGCATAGTCTAAGAAGAAGTTCATTCTAGGTATTGTTCCTTTGCCAATGATGGAAGAGGGTCACCCTGTTTTACGGGGATTTCTTCTGCCCTACAACCTTTAGATAGTATGTCAAAGTTAACCAGAGGGGGAAAAGAGAGAGAAAGGGAGAGGGGGAGAGAGTGAGAGGGAGGAAGAGACCCTTCCCATGGATGCCTCCCTAGCCTAGGCGCCCCCCAGGCCCCCACCCCTCCTTCCAGGAGCTTTCAGAATGGGAGGGGGGAAGTTGGGGGTAGGGTGGAAGGGGTTCTGGACCACGTGGCTGCCTTCAAGCCCAATGAGCAAATGCCTCCTGAAGTTTGTCAGATATCTACCATCATCCATCAAGTCCTTGACATTTGCATGACAAAAGGACTTCAATCAAACTTTTCCCCATCGATCTGATTAACAACACGGATGCGTCAAAAGGTTTTCCCCTCAAAGACTTGGAAGAAGAAGAAAAAAGGAAGTGATGGAAAGGGATTGGGGAAAGGAAAGGGGTGGAAGAAAAGAAGCGGGGGTGGGGTGGGGAGAAAGTTGGGAATATGCAAGGCTCCTTCTATGTGTGTGTGTTTTTTAAAAAAGGCATCTCCCTCTTCCACTTCATAAGATGGTGTCAAAAATCATCACAACTTTCCTCCCGAACTGGGGGAAAGAAGAGCTGTGTCCCTATTCCAACTACAGCAGACTCCCCCAATACACGGAGTGGTGGTGGGAGGCAAGAGAGAGAAAAAACGAGAAAGAGGGAGAGAGAGGTAGGGGAAACGTTTTTATGAAAGTAAATGTTCTTTTTCCTCATTAAAAAAAATTACTCACCGAAAAACTACTTAAACATTTATGGAGTTTGCTTAAAGTGCTTTCTGTTGTCCCTTGGGGAAAAAAAAATACCAAATAGCTTTGGCTTGCCTATCCCCTTTTGTGTCTAGAAGCAGGATGCTTAGGAGCAATTTAATTCAATCAACATTCTAATGAGTTGTGAAATAAAGTTAGAAACACAATTGTCTTTTGTCGAAGGGGGGAAGGCAAACGAAATTGGAATCCGATCTATCCTATCCATCTATTTATTTTTTATCTTCTCTGGCTATCCCTTCATTTCCACCCCAACTCTCTAATATGATCTTTTTGTTCTTTTCTATCTCTCTCCACCCCACCCCCTACTTTTCTAATCACACATAACTATAGTAACACTTTCGGGCAGTCACTGGGCTTGGATATGCCTGCTCTGAGCACGGGGGTTGGTGGTTTTAATGGCTGCAGATCGTTCTTAAAATTGAAATACAGACCAGCAAGGAAATCAACCGACCAACGACTCCGGAAGGTCATTTTCTGAGCCATACATTATTAGAACCGAAGAGATCCACAGTCTAGCCTGTGGAAGGAAGACTGCCAGTTGGATAGACTGTAGATTCATGCAGACTTAGATCGGTTGGTTTTCTTTTGTTTTATTTGGAAGGGGGTGGGAGACTCGCCTTCACTTCTCCTTTCCAGACAAATGTTCCTGAAGACCAAACTGCCTAGATTAAAACAACAACCAACAAATCCCTAGGTCTCTAAGTGAACTTTTGGCCTGCTCAAAACCTCTGGCGCTCTGTCCGTGGGCTGAGCGCCCAGTAAATATCCTGACAAGTAACAAATGACCGTAGGCGTCAGATTAGAAGTTACCCTTGTCTTCCATGTGCTAACAAGTAAATAAATGTTGCTTGCCTAGCTTTCCATTATATGAAGCATGAAGTGCTTTACTCTTTCTGCCTTTGTCAATACACGCGAGTTAGAGGAGGCGATCTTTCCGAAAGGGAAGCCCCGACTCATCAATTTATGGACTCCGAAGAAGCGAAGTAAATCCTCTGAGGACGCCTTGAGAGGGGACCCCGCTGGAGGACGAGAGAAGGAATGAAAGGCGGCGGGGGTGCGGGAGAAGAGTCGAAGGAACTTTAATAAAGAATATCTTCCTCTGAAAGGGGCTGGGCTAGGGGGAAGGGTAGACCTTCTTGGTGTTTTTTTTTTTCTGACCATGTCAAAGCTGGAAGAGCGATTTGCCTTCTTTGTGGAATATGTACTGAATGGGTTCCGACTGCCTGCTAGGCCGAGAAGGGAAGGAGGAAGGCTACGCAGTTGCTGACAGTTTATACCGGAGATGTCAACGATTTTGAGAAGGTCGAAAGGAGAACTCGTACAGAATAACGAAAACAGAGAGTTTAACAAAGGAGAAGGAGAAGGAAAAAAAGAAGAAGCAAGAAGAAAACGAATTGAGTGGGAGAGGGGAAGGAAAGGAAGGAGGAGGAGTGATGTAGTTTACTATTTTTGAAGTGCATTAAATTACGTTAATACTTAACATAAAATGAGCAGATACATGGGTTTCGGCTTCTTCATACATTAGCTAGTTGTAATCCTGGATTTGGCATTTTAGAACAAGCCAACAAAACGCACCCCAAACCAGAATGGGTGAAGCGGCCCTTTGCTCTCAACATCAAACTTCTCACCACCTTGGGAAACCTTGAGCTGCCAGTGTCTGGGCCTGGATTAAACTGAATGAGGGGGGAAAAAACCCTAACCTAAAACCTTCCCTTAAGACTTCTGCGCCTTCTGAATGCTGCCTTTCCGTGTTCACCAACTCCATCTACCTAGTGAATTAGGAGGAGAGCTTTGTGTTTGAGGTGGTGGATGGGGAGAAATAGTTTTAAAGATTATTTATAAAAACCTAGAGTTGTTCCCCATTGAAAAGTTAGACGAAACTGAGGACCCAATGTCAATTTTATTCCTGTTCAGACCTGGCTTGTTCCACGCGAGATTGGTTCGCCTTGTATAAGAAGGGACATCAAATCGTGATAAGAGTAAGACTATATTGGAATCCAAACCATGCTTCTGAATATGTGGAGCTGGCGAGGAAAGGAAAGCTGGAGTAGGAATATACATCTCTCTTCAGAAGGATTTCCACAGGGTTTGCTTGCAAGGGGCAGGTACCAGAACACGGGTCTGAAAATTTAGTCAAGGAAAAAAAAAGGAGGGAATGGGTGGGAAGAGAAATGGCTGAACTTGCACGAAAACAACCGCGACAGAAATATACACCCCTCGATTTAAATAAGCTTTATGGGCGTGGCTGTATTACTGAAGCTTCTAATAACTCTCCGTCTGATGCAAAAGCAACGTGCGTTGACGTTCCGGCAAAGGCTAAGTCTTCGCACTTCGCTCCCATCCCCCGCTGGCTGACGGCGTGTGTTCGTAATATTATCCTGCTGTCTTCTAAATCTCAATTTTTGGCCCCGTTTACTTCCTCTCTCTTTGGTGCCCATCAGCTTTCTCTAACTTGCTGCGCTCCAGTACGCGGTGGATTACAACTCTTACCGTCCAAAATTTGTAGCCCATCACAACCAGAGAGCGCCAGGTTGGGAGGGGAGAGTCTGGCTTACACAGCTGACCGCCACTCGTTGTTGTTCTCCTTCTGATGCAGCCGGCTGTTGCCTACGGAAAGCTCACAACCACAATAACTCGGTCCAAAATTTTAAGCTGGGATCACGTGGGTAGAGTTATACTACTGTATTGAGTTTTGATTGTCCTTACCGATGTTTTCAGTTTCGTTTATTCCCAAACACATTTAGGAGAACATAACCTGATAAAACTAGCTAAATACGTAATTAGCCTGGGAAAGGAGGTATTTCCAAGGAAGTTCTCTCTCTCTCTCTCTCTCTGTGTGTGTGTGTGTGTGTGTGAGAGAGAGAGAGAGAGAGAGAGAGAGAGAGAGAGAGAGAGAGAGAGAGAGAGAGAGAGAGAGAGAGAGAGAGAGAGAGAGAACTAGCTGCTGGATTTTCATTTTTGCATTCTCCCTTGGCACTCCAGGGCCGCTCACCATCTGCTCTCTAAGGGTGATGACTTACAGGAGGCTCTATTACATGGCTCCCCTCCCCTCTTCACTCCCTGTCCCATCGTTGCTCTCCGAAAGCTTCAGGGTCACCAGAAGCTTTGGCTATGTGTCAGGACATTTGCCAGAGTGATTGAGATTGAGAGAAAGGGAGCTGGCCACTCTTCTAGGGAAGATTTAAAAAGCAGGGCAGTTGGCCTCTCTCGAAGTTCTCGCGGAAGGACTTGTGGCATGAAGTCTCACAGACTACAGCCCACTTCATTAAATGCATAAAAGTGTCGACTGGGCAGGCAAACAGGGTTGGGTGGGATGTAAGGAACAGAAAATGATTACAAAAGCAGATGATTAAGTGACATGGGCCAAAATAATACTGACATGCCCATTCTATTTATCTGGAACAGCTGGTAAAGAAAAGTGAGCACAATTGTCCATTGTATACAGGAGTTAGTATGAGGACTCGATAGAATTTCATTTTAATTCAGTTGAGGGCGAGGAAGCAAAATTCTTTCTTCCCAAGTGTTCAGAGTTCACTTTTGTGGGACATTTTTCTCCCAGTACATTAAAATATAGAATTAATAAAACAGGGAGTTGGGCTAGAAGAAGGGCACGGAGCTTGCTTCTCTCCTTTCCCATTTCAGGGATTCCTTGAAGGAAACACACTTTTCACACATAAAAGTGCATACATAGAGTTCTTGAGCCAACAAGGGCTATGTGTTTTGCAGCCCCTGACACACTCTTCAGGCTGCAAATGGGCCAGTGACAATCCACCTAGGAAAAGGGAAGCATTTAACATGTAGGAGAGATTACTGTAAGTAACTGGAGAGGGATGGGGGTATAGGGGTGGGATAGAGTTCTTGCTGACATTGCACCACCCCCTCTTGGGGTCAGCCAGGCTGGGAGTGGTTTGCTATCTTCTTGTGTAAGCTTAGCCACCTTCTATGCCTTTGCATGGATTGCAGCCCCTATGATGGCTCTTGACTGCTTGAGTGGAGATTTGGCCTCAGGCTCAATGTCCTAGGATGGAAACATATATTCTTAAAGAAAAGATTCATTGTGCAAAGGCAAGCTTATTTCCTGGGGAAGGGGGAGAGGTAGGGAAGCTCACAGCAGCCATTTGTACTCTCTGTGCTGCAGAGGCAGGGAAGGAAAA